CCCCTACCACTGCCATGGCGGGCCAGCTTCCACCCACCCTCAGAACCAGTCCTCCCCTGTGCCCCCCACATCTGCCCTGGGCCTACTCTTCCCCTCCCCCCATCGATATGGTGGGGAAGGGGGGAGTGGGCCCAGCCATGGCAGCCACAGGGCTCTGTCCCCCCTGCTCCCCCCACCCCCGTCATTCTTGATGAGCAATTGACTGGGATATATCTATCTATCTATTTATCGATAGATAGATATCACTACCCCCTTGAACCTGTCACAACTATGCAAAGGACTACTACCTCAGTCCTCCCCCCCACCCCAATCCCCCTTCCGTTTTGCAGTCCCTTCATTTGTTGTCGTCATCATCATCCTTGTTGCTCTCTTGGATGGCTTGCCTCTGAAAAGTCTATGCCAGTCCCCTCTTTTCCATATGATGTCCACCATCTCTTCCCCATCCTCTTCTACTGTCTTCCTGTAGTACCAGTACAGCTCACTCAGGCCCACTAATACAGTTCTCGACTGGGAGGTTTGTGTGCCTGTTTGGGAGCAAGTTCCTGATCTTCCAAAGGGCTTTTCTAAAGCAGGAGATGAACTGGTCAAAGCTGGCTGTTAGGGCCCCTTGCTGCTTAGTCAAGTGCCCATACAGAACTGCCATCTGGTAAGGGTTATGAAACCTGTTACCACCACGAGAAGGACTACACAAACTTTCTTCCACACCTTTCTGGCATATGGGCAGTCCCAGAAGAGGTGATCAATTGTTTCTGCCTCCCACTAGCAGGATTGCCTGGGCCAGCTGGATGGGCTTCTCTGCCCTGCACTGTTTTTCCATGCCTGTGAAGAGTGCCCAGTGGGCTACCTGCTAGTTCAAGCCTGTGCTTCTTCTGCAGATCCTGGTAAAAGATTCACTCCCACACAGCCTGGCAGCTGTCACCAGGTATTAGGTCCACAGGTGATATGATGTCTCTTGCCCTTTGTCAGGTATTGCAGTCCCTTGTAGACCTGTAGGGCGCCACCTGCCACTCGACTAGGGTGTTATTGGTTCTAATTGATGATCTACACACCCACGTTTCTCCTGCCACGACTTGATGTTAATGGAGTTGGTTCATGTATCTGCATGTGTAGTCCAATTAGTAGTCTCACCGACGTCCCGCAGGGTCCTGCATTCCTGAGGGCTCCGCCACCCCTACACCCTTGCCCGTTCCACCGGGTTCTGGCCAGCCAGCTGGTCTGGCCATGTGTCCTCTGTTCCTCTCAAACAACCAACAAAAGATCAAAAAAACCCCAAGAAAACAGAGAAGGCTCTTCTGGCCTGTGTCACTGCTCCTGCTGTTTGCAGCTATGATCTAAACCAAAATTGACCTTTGTGTGGTCAGTCCCTCTTTGATGGCTCTCTCTCTCTGAGAGCCTCCTGTGGAGATCGCCATGATTTCTTTTAGCACCTTGAGTCCATCTTATTGTCTTGTACCACTTTTACATGCTTTATGGTACCATGAAAGTCAAAAGTGCCCCTCTATTAGGGTTATTACGGTACCATTCTCCCTGCCGGGCTCCCCCAGCTCCTGGCACCTAAACAAACAGTTCTAGGCCCCTCAGAGCCAGTAGACTGGGCTCTAAACCCCCGCTGGGGTTTTTATTGTCTGTAAGAGTCTCCTACCAGCGCTCCACGTCGCTTTCAGAGTTCCCTGCAGCGTGTGCCGGCTTGCTCCTCCTCCTCCTCCTCCTCCTCCTCCTCTTCCTTCCCTTTCTGGTTCTGCGCTCCTCCCGCTTTCCTGTCCGGGGCTCTTCTTTATACTGGTGCGGGAGTTCTCTGCCTTTCCCTTCCCAACACACCTGGGTAAGGGAGATTTCTGCTGGGCTTCTTGGGGCTGCGGACCTGGGGCCGCTGAGCCTTTGATTAGCCTGGGAGCTTTGGAGCCTGGTGGCTCCTTCTCTCTCTCTCACCCTTATCACCTTTTGTATCTTGTGGTGGTTTGTCAGGGTTGCTGGGGCTTTGTTGTGCAGTTCGCATTTGTTCTGGAGCATTTCAGGACCTCGTGGAACCATGGGGACTCCATGGGCTCTTGTTGGTTGTCATGTACACCCACCACTGTCACAGTAGATTCCTTGCAAAATATTTTACAAAGCAGACTGTTTTAGATTTTGTTCCTGTTGCCAGTTTGCAAATCCAGCTCATGTACTTGGCCCAGAGGAACAGCAGAATGTCTGGGATTCCTCTGCTTCCAGACTGTTTTGCTTTGTACAGTGTGGCCCTCACCACTTTCTCCCATGTGGAGTTCCTGAAGAAGATCCACATGGCTCTTTGGATCCTGTGGATGACTTGGTCTGACCTGGGGAAGACTAGGGCAATATGTAGAAGCATCAGTAGTAAAGCTGCCTTAGTGAATACCACGCACCCACCTATTGACAGGCAGCGCAATTGCCATAGTCCCGCCCTTTGTCCCTCTGTCCAGTCAGCTCTGGGTCAACTTCATTCTGAGGATCTTTACCCCATCGTGGGGGACAGAGACCCCCAGGGTTGACAGGTCCCCAAGTTCACCCAGTACTAGGCAGATGTTTGAGTCGCACTGAGCTTGGCCCTGATGTTGTTTCATATACCTGCGTGTGATGTAATGCTCTTTCAACCAAGCACTTGTCCCTGCATATGATATTGGAGTCATCCATGTAGGCCAGGACCTTTGTCTTGTCTCTGTTACTCCCCAGAATCTTTATGCCATTGATCCCGGAGTCCTGTCTGAGCTGCTGTTTTAGCACTTCCATCACTCAGATAAACAGATTCGGAGAGAATGGGCAGCCCTGCCAGACATCTGACTCCACTGCTGTCAGAGCCCCATTTACCAGTATCCTGCTGCTCATGTTGGTGTACAGTGTCTTTATCCAGATGTCAAAGGTTGAGGGGACTTGCATCTTTTTCAGGATTGCCAGTAGGAACTGATGGGATACCCAGGTGTAGGTCTTCTCCAGGTCGAGGCTCAGCACAGCAGCATTCTACCCTCTCTCCCATTGCTATTATAGCACATTCCACAGCTGCATCAGGGGTGTGTGGATCTGCTGCCCTAGTACTGTGCGTACCTGGTCCTCATGGATCACCGCACCTGTAACAGATTTGAAGTGCTCGGCCAAGACTTTGGCCTTTAGTCTGTAGTCGAAATTCAGGAGTGTTATAGGGCTCCAGTTTTTTAGGTCCCGCCTCTCCCCTTTCTTGTAAAGAAGGGTTATGAGGCCCTCCTCCATTCCTGCTCCCAGGTGGCCCTCCTACAGGCACTCTCTACAGACCTCCAGCAGGTCCAGGCCCACCTAGTCCCAGAAAGCAGTGTAGAATTCCTTGGGCTGGCCATTTGTCTCAGGAGTCTCACCATTCTGGAAATTGCAGACCATTGTGTTTGATCTCCAGCGTCAAGTCCTCCACCAGCTTCTCAGGACCCAAAGGATCAGTTAGGGCATTTCCTCTAGCTTCCATAAAGAGGAGAGTGCCCATTTTGCTCAATCCCCCTCAGCATTGACTCTTTTGCAAGGAATAGTGAGCTACTACACTGACCACATTTCAACTTCCTCTTCACTCCCACAGCTGAGCTGTGTTTTTTCTTTCCCATGTCCAATGATTCCTGTTTCCTCACCCTTAAATGCTTGGCAAACATCACCAAATGAGGCCCAAACAGTTCAGGCAGAATCCCTCTGTTGCCTCCTCTCTGTCTGTCACAAATGATTCATGTTGCCTCACCTTCCAGATGCTGTGGGGTGCAGGAGGCAAAGGGCTCCCTGACTGCCTACAGTTTTATTTTCTGTGTTGTGGCAGTGGGGGGGAAGCAAACTCAAGGCAAACTTTCAGTAATTAGACTACGCCTGCAAAATTCTAACATGTATTTAAGTTTTCCATGTCTAATTATTGGTAGGTTGTCTTTATTTTCAGGGTAATCTTATATTCTAATAAATACTGTATTTACTGCTTTGGCTGGCTGATGAATGCGCCTTGTGGAAATTAGAGTTTCATATGCAATATGGGACATTTGCTGGCAACAGATTTAACAAAGTCCCATGATTACCCGTAAAGAAGCCAGTTGACTTGTAGAAATATTATGTAGTACTGACTTTGAACACTGATCCATAAAAAAATCCAGGTACAGTTGCTACTGGAGGAAAGTCTATGCAGAATATACCCATCTTGCTCTGCACCTTTTTTGTAATGGGGCCTCTTTCTGAAGCGTATTGTAGATGCATGGAAGTGTCCTACATTGTGCATGTAGATCTAATTTTAAAGTTCCAAATCTCTGGCTGCTGCCAAGAAAACAGTACAGGTTTTCCTCTGTTTACACGGGTTCTTTATATGCAAATTTGCTCTTATGCGATGAGGATATTTAGACCCATAATTCGTTATATGTGAGGTAATTCACTCTTATGCAATCAGCGTAGATGCCCCCCTGCCCAAGCAGGTAAGTCTGTGTGGGGAGGGGAAAGGGCCATGGCCTCATTCACCCCAGCCCTGGCTGCAGCAGCCCCAGGAGCAGCCAACACCAGCCACCTGCACCAGGGCACAGCGCAGCCCAGAAACAGAGGTAAGTGGGTATGGGTGGAGCACAGTGCAGCCATAAATCGAATTTGCATAAAGTGAATCCACTTCAGTCTGCAGGCGCTGGTCACTTCTGGGGCTGCTGCAGCTGGGGCTGGGAAGAGTGCCACTCAGTTTCCTCTTCTTTGCTGCCTTGTGCAGCCCTGAGAGTGGCACCCCTCCCCCTACCCCTTCCCTAGTCCCAGCCTCACTCCCTCCCTCCTTCCCTCACCACCATTGGAACCTATCCCTATTTGTTACATTGTGAAGTGGATGCACTTTATGCAAATTCGATTTATATGCTGTTCTCTGGGAACGCATGTACAGCATAAATCGAGGGAAACCTGTATTGCAGTACTGCAGCTAAAGGAAACAGGAAGATGCTTATGTAAGCCCTGTAACTGGTTTCCTGAAAGTGAACACAGAGCAGACATGAAGCCAATTCATTAAAAAGCCCTAGTGAAAAGTCATGGAATATTTTTTTCATGAGTTGCCCAGCTCTTAAATCCTTGGACATCTTGAGTAAAATGAGGACAGAAGGCAGCAGTATTGCAACATTCTTTAGAACCCAAAAGCCCCTTGGAGTTATGTTGAGAGCAACAAACGAACAACAAAACTGTTTAAATAATGGTAAGTTGCATGTATGTAAAATAAAAGATAAAAAGCAAAAAGATATGCATTGCAATGTAAGCTATAAATAGGTGCATATGTTTATTTTCAATTTTAAAAGAGAGATTTAGATTTAGGCTCAGAGTAAAAATATGACAGCTTAGCTCTATCTTTAGCATTCTGAATAAAGATTTGCAAATAAAGAATCTCATATATGTAGATTCATGGAGTTTATTTCTGTTTCACTCCCACTAAGGTAAATTGGAAGTAACTTGAGTCACTACATTTTAAACAGCAGAAAATGGATGTGAAGTTTGAATTGAGCCATGGATTTTTTGAAAGAGAAGGCAGTATTGAAAATGTAACCAAATTAGTCAGATGCCAGTGTTATGAGAGTTGCATATTGTAGCATCAGTATGTGCATGTGACTATACAGTAATTATCTGTATTGCTGTCAGGTATTGGCACCCTATTGTACTGTACGCTGCACAAAGACAAAATCAGTCACATCTTCAGAAAACTCACAATCTAAGAATCAGGCAAAACATCAGTGCAGGCAAACAGAGAAGCACGAACTCATATCCTAGTAGCTGGAAATTTTTATTTAGCTAGGGTCAAATTTGTTTTTTTTTATTTAGTTAGGCTAGGTAAGATCATTCATAAACTCATAGGCTCTAAAAAGCTGTGGGGAGTCTGAATCTTCAGTCCCAGTCCCCTCTATCCCTCTATTTTGGTGAGATGGAAGGCTGAGGGATAGAGGAAACTAGGCTGAAGAGCCCAGACGTAGCGGGGCCCTTGCGTGCAGGGAAAGGAATCCAGTGGCTGCACAGTCTGGCAGGCTGTTACTCAGCATGAAGATTGCTCACCTTCTTCTCCTTTCCTACTCTTTGTGTGTGGGGAGGTGAGGGGGATAGAGCACTATGGGATTCTGGAGGATCCCCTGTCCCTATACACAAGCAACAGAAACTGAAATGCTCCAAAACAGCACCTTATATCAAGAGATACTGTTTCAAAACACTTCAGGTCTTTTTGGAACATTTTAAAGGGCCTACATGTTGTCCAGCCAGCCCTCTGAAACATTTCAAAGGCATTTCAATTAACTTCTGTCAATAACCTATATGTTCCATGGCACTGGACTTGGAATTCCAGTTGAGTGCTTGACTTTGGTCCCAAATTCACATGGATTTGGAGGAAATTGAGACTGTCTCAGATTTCTGTGAATTAGAGCAATAGTTAGCTGCCAGCTACCTGTTACTGCTTTTATAAATAATATGGATGAATGCATCTCTAGCTAACCACACTGCAATTGGTGAAATTACAGAAGGAATACTTCTGTAGTCACGTGTCACTTCGTGATCTTTCCTTAGATTAAATTAAAGAGATTTAAAGCTTCATGATTTATTCTTCTTGTCTGGAAAAAAAAATCTTCTTCGCTTATCCATCTGCCAATAGAAAAGGGAAAGAGATATTAGAGAGATGAAAAGAAGTTGTTCCCAAGCTACTGACAGCACAAGCTTTTTATATATCATTAATACTTGAAAACTAAAAAGTCAGTGATTTCAACAAATCACCTCCAGGTGTTGAACCTTTTCAGTGGATTTTACTGTATTTAACCACCAAAACCACAGTTAGGAATGACAATTAAACTAAACCCCATCTGGTCCCCTCGATCCTGCACATGTTCCATATATTACAGTTACTAGTACACTCCCCAGAGAAGTTTTATATGTTCACACCAAAGTTTACCAGCACTCTTGGAAGAACATTCCAGAAACTGCTGCATCTCCCTGCCAAAAAGTCTTGTTTTCATGCCATGTGGTGATTACTCTTTTTTATCTTGCATGTAACAGAGGGAACTTATAGCAGTGGGATAAATTTGCGAACAATTATTTTGGTTATCAAGACCCCTGCCTTTTTTTGTTTTGGCATTAAGGCCATTGGTTTTTTGTGTGCTCACATTATACCTGCTTAGAGCACTAAGACTGTAATAGGAATTTGCCAAAAAACCTTAGGATCTGACCCTTTTGAATAATGATGAGTGGTGGATAACAGATGTTAAAAGTAAAATCAAACTGTACCTTCAGGTTTGATTTTGCTTCTGCTCCCTTTACTTTGTCCATGGAAATTAGCTCATGTGTGTGATTAGTACCAGGAACTTGCTTTGCAGATGAAACTTTGAGACAATGCTCAGAGGTCTTTTCATGTGAATTATCAGTACGGTTCTCTGTTCTGAAGGATCTTATGTTCAAAGTAGATACCTGATCATAAGTAACATCAGCTTGTATTAAGCGAGACTTGGAAATTTTCTCTGAAGGTAGGTCATCGCTGGATGACCTTGACCAGCCAATAGGAATCTGTTCATAAGTACTGTTTAGATTACCAAAGCCAGAAGCAAAAATGGTAGAGGATTTCACCTTATCAGTCTGTCCACATGTGATGTGTGTCGGGGAATTAGAGATCTTCTCTTGTGATTGCCCTTTGTTGAAGTGTAGAGAGGTTGCATATAGTTGTTCTGAACCTTGGGACTCCATGGAGGTTCTAGCTTTATTGGGTAACTTAGACAACTTAGACAGCATTGAAGCAGGAGCACTTAATGTCAACTTTGTTTCTGAAGGAGTTGATAGAGGAAAATGTAGGGAAAAGATACCTTGACTTTGTGTAAGTGAAGAATGGCATTTGTCTTGTTCTAGGTTAACCTCAGAATACACAGTGTCTTGTGGGGATGGCTTTGTCAGGTCAAGTTGTTTACTGTAAAAATGTTCAGTTTGTTTAGTGAGAGCATACACAGTACTTATTTTTTTGCCATAAGTGTAGCTTGCTTGGTCTAGTTCTCCTGGTTTGTGCTGGGGTTCCCCTTGTGCTGAACAGCCTGGATTCTCACTGAGGACTTTGTCAGTGGCAGAGTGTGTCTCCAAACCATGGTCCCTGTCACTTAAGTGGTGTTTGTTCAGCATTGCATATACCGTAGTTCCTTGATCATCTAAGTCATGTCTGAGTATCTCAGGCATAAGCAAGCTGCTCCTGTCCGGCAGTGGTGGGGCCATGTCTAAATCCTGACATGAAGGAAAGGAAGGAGAGTGATGGGATTATTATCCATCAATGGCGTATGTAAAATACAATACATTCACCAAGTGTGTGATAAACTGTGGCTTTGGCAGGCAATGGAATCAGAGCATTTTACAAATCTTGTTGCTTTAATTTGATATTAATTCTTGTGAAGGTAGTGTGGAATTTGGCCTGATTAACAATAAAGCAGCAGTGGAGACTGTCAGAGCAATGGAGGGGCATTAATGTTAAAGGAATACATCTTGCTAAATCTTCTATAATGTTGTGAAAACCTCCATCAAAAAGCCTTGGAAATTCAAGAAGAACTCTTTAGAAACTTTCGGCAATATTTCACAGAAAAGAAGCTTGTTTGGCCTTTGATATAGGTAATAGAATAATGCACTGTGAAAATCTACAGAACTCAATGCTCTGTACACATACATTACAAACTAATCTATAAGTTTTTTCAAGTCCGTCTGTATTTATAGTTTTCTATAACCTTTCTTAAAAGACTGTGGGATATTTACTAATAGAATGAAATTCAAATTCTTCTTTTACACAAAGTCAGTACAAGTGAAACTCTTCAATTCCACTTACTATCTACTCATGACATAGCACTTCACAGTTGTTAGTTAGCTACAACACGATCAGGTAGACAGCTGTAAGTGTTGTTATTCCCACTTTGCAGGTGAGGAGGCTAAGGGAGGGGAAAGGAAGTGGTTTGCTCAAGTCAACACAGCAAATTCATGCCAGACCCAGGTACTTAAGTATTATTTTGAGTGCAACATCCCATTTATCTGAATCTCTAAATTTCACCCTTTGCTTGGTGGCAAGATGTGACTATCTTCTTTGCTGTATCTGGTAAAGTCAGGTTTAGCAGAAAATAATTCCAAAGATGAAATGTTAGAGCCAGTAAAAGGGGTATATTTGGTAGGCATGTTGGTTTGAGACAAAAAGAAATGCAAAACTCTAGAACTCTTGGTTCAGAGATGATACCTTGTATTAGACCAACTAAGAAATCACAAAAAATTATCTATTTCTGCAAGCTTTCAGTCGCACGTGCCCTTTCTCAGGCTCAGGGAAAAGTAAAGATAGTAAAAAGTCTTTTTAAAAAGTCTTTTTACTACCTTTCATTTTCCCTGAGCCTGAGGAAGGGCATGTGTGCCTGAAAGCTTGCAAAAATTTTTTTTTTTTTTTTTTTTGTGATTTCTTAGTTCGTCTAACAAAAGAGGCAGTAAAACAAATTCAGCAACACTGTAACATCCCCAGATTGGTACAGTACTTCCTGGAGTAGGACTGCACCAGATCACTGGGGTCCTAGTAGCACAAATCAGGTGCTGCCTGCTGCAGAGAAATCCCAGCAAGTGCCCAGCACTGGGCTGTTCCAGTTACATTTTGCAAAAACCTACCTCATGACTGAAGTGTTTTTTCTCTCCTGACAAGTTTCTCTGCTGTTCCTGAAGTGTTTTCTTTGATCGTAGAGGTAAGCTTGAGAGTTTTTCATCCTGAGCAGAACTGCTGGGGGTATCCTTCTTTGGCACAGTGGTTGGTGAACTACCAGACATTTGCTTTATCAGCAATGGGTTCACTGTTCCACTGTTTGATTTACTTTGCTTTGAAGAAGTTTGCTGGTCCAAACAGATTTCATCATATATACTTTTCTCTAGTCTCTGTGGAAAGAATGAACGTTCTTACTAAAACACCTTTCTTGACTACTATGATAACTGTCATGTTCATTTCTTTCCTTTATCAAATAGCATGGCCACTTCATGATTTACTAATGAGATAAACTAATTCTGTTAGAAAGATTTTTAGTTTAATAATTCATTCTGCAAAAGTACTGTTTGTTGTATAGCTCTCCCTCTGGAGTGGTAGGATAACAGTAAATGGGGAGCAACATCCATTGGCAAAATGAGAGGGTAAAAAGAAATACAGGTGTCTCTGTTTCTTTTTCATATTTCTAATTGCCCATATGTTTCCTGATAGGCTGCTAATAATAGATATTGCATCAGAGCAAGAGAGCTTGTATATACCAATTGCATTCTTTTATTGAACTATTACAGACCTGTAACACAATCCTATATGTTTACATAATAACAGTTGCTCGATGAATCCTTCCCTTTATAACAGCATCTAAATGTAAATATCTGTTATCTGTACATCAAATAATTCCTCAAAAGTCTTCAGTGAGTCCTTGTCCTGTCACAGTCATCTAGGAAAGCCTTAAAATACCAGTATTTACTGTAAACTAATGTCTGTTGTCAGCTCTTACTGCTTAGAAATCTCAAATCTAGCAATGATAGCTCCAGACTTCAAGATCTCTTGCTTTGATGAGGCTGTCCCCCTTACATAAAGTATGTGTAACCCACCAAATTGGGTGTATTATGTCTTCCACTGTGCCCAATCCACAGAGGATGTGCATCTCCTACAGCAGTGGTTTTCAACCATTTTTTCATTTGCAGACCCCTAAAAAATGTTGAATGGAGGTGCAGACCCCTATGAATTGTATGCATGAGTATTCACATACTTTTGATCAATTATAGTTATCTTTTGCAGACCCATTAGACATAGTCTGTGGACTCCCAGGGGTCAGTGGGCCAGAGGCTAAAAACCGATGTCTTACAGCTTCCATATACCCAGACTGGCTCTTAGAGAAAGGTGCATAGACTTATGCTTGTAGCTCGAGTTCTGTAGCATTGGCCACAGTGAAAATCCTCATCCCCACTTCTGCAAGTTCACTTTTTCTGCTGATTGGCAGATCTCTGTGACTTCTTCTAAAGTTAGTTGGTGTTGGCTGAAAGCTGCAGCTCTCTGAACTGTCTTCTATAGTTTGAGTTTCCACCTTTCAGTCTGGAAGGTGATCCCTTTAACTTCTACATCACACTCCCATCCTTACACACCAGCAGTTGCTCCTGACATTGGGAACCTATCTCTTGCTTCCTTGGGTAGAAACAGACATAGAAACTAGTACTTTTATCCTCAGCCCAAGGCAACAGAATGAATTTGTCAATAAATTTAATCCCATTATTCTATCAAGAACTGATTGAGTTCTGAAGAGCTTAACATACCTCAGTGCAAGCTGTTATGAGATTCTCTCCAAAAGGCTCAATTTCTGAAGTCCGGTAATATTCTATCAGGCCTGCAAGACTTTCATGGGTGCAAGTATCTCCAGACACTACATAATGTCCATTCCGTAAATAATTAATTACAAAATGCCGGCATCGATCTTTACCTCTGTAATTGAAAGCGAAGGTTTAGACCTCTCAACTGGAAACACAACAAATGGGTTGAGAAGACTGGTTGTTTTTTGCATCCATTGTTCACATTTCCAGATTTTAGTCCTTATTACATTTTATCTAAAATACAGTAAAATTCTGTTAACTGGCATCTTACAAGCCAGCATGTTCCACTAACCAGCATGCCGGCTTGTAAGATAAAGTGATACCAGAAGTGCCCACCGTGGCACTTCTGGTTTCTCCAAGCCCCCACGGCCCTGGGCAAAGCAGCCTGCGCTGCCGAGCCCCCACAGCCTGGGGGCATAACAGACTGTGGGCCTGCCTCCCTGTCCCACGTGGCCTACAGGGCCTGCAGGATAGGCAGCAATGCCATGGGAAGGGTGGAGGGATGCCCCCAGACATGGTGGGAGAAGCAGCAGCCAGGGCTGCTCAATTAACTGTCATATTTTGTATCTGGCATCCCCCGTTCCTGGGGGATGCCGGATAACAGCTTTTACCATACTGAAATGGAAGAGATTATGAATAAAAGGGGCTGATTTGGCCCATCTTTCTGTAGATGGCTTCAATCCTGGAATTCCAAGTCTTGAGTACCATTTTTGAAGCTTTGATGTTCTTTCCTTTAATGCACATTTATTAATGCAACCTCCTAGTTTTGAAAATCAAACTTTAAAAAAAATCTCATCTATCAGGTGAAATCACACAGACCTGTAGTTTAGGCCACCAGCAGGTTTGGAACCTTTAATACAGTAAAAGCTGTGTTAACCGTCACTTTATTAGCCAGAAAACTCTATTAACTGGCATCCAAGCAACGCAGCAAAAGTGAAACCAGAAGTACCACTTCTGGGGGACTTCCCATTTCGCAGCCGTGAGCTGAGTTTTTCTTCGCCACTTTTTCAGCCCAGGGCAAAGCAGCCTGTGCGGGACCCCCCTTCCCTGTCCCCCAGCACACTGACACCAGGGAGTGCACCAGATGGTGCACATTTGATTAACCGGCATCCCCCATTCCTGGGGGATGCTGGATAACAGAGCTTTTACTGTACCTACGTTCATATTGATCTTTACCATTCAATTTATGCTGCATCAGGTGGCAGTAGTAAGCTGTTATCCTTTACATGGACCAGCCACTAGGGGAAGTGAGAGACTTTGCCAGTGGGTCTCACTGATATTTGATGTTAGCAGAAAAATGTAAAAGCTCTAAAATAATAGATTCCAATTCCAGGGTCTGGAGGGGAGGGTAGACTAGTGATTACAGGTCTTTCTGTGCCTGTTCCCTTCAGTTTCTAACCACTGCATCCCAAATGCTGTCCCTGACCCATTTTTCTTCTATGTAACTCATCCTGGCTCCTAACCCTCTCCTCCTACATAGTCCTCCAAGTCCGTAGAATGTGATCTTATAATAGGAAGTGCGTGGTAACCTATGACACTCCCAGCTCCGACTAAAATAATTTAATGTTCTTTAAAACTGTAACCTATCCCTTGTAGCCCTTTCCTAGAAGTCTTTATCTAACACTCACCATCCACCAGTTTTTATACTACCTATCTCATGTAAAGAGGTGGCAAATCCAGGACTCCTTACCAGGGAAAACTCCCATTCACTTTAACAAGGTTTTGCAGACAAATACTAGAGTCCATATAGGCCCACTCAGTCAACACCTATAAAAAAGAGAAGGCTGAGAGGGGACTTGATAGCAGCTTACTGCTACATCAGGGGAATACATCAAGGGCTTGGTGAACAACTGTTCACCAGGGCACTCTTGAGGAAAACCAGGAATAATTGCCACAAAGACCCCAGTTGCCTTTCCTGCCTGATGCAGGGGGCTGGACCCGATGATCTTCTGAGGTCCCATCCAGCCTTACAATCAATCTATGAATCACAAGCCACTTTTATATCTGCTGATTCTGCCTTCTCTAACTTTCCAATAATTGGCCACTCCTATCCAATTCTACACTCTGTGAACCAGCATCCTTCAAAGACAATGGATATCCACCCTGTCATCTGTATAATATTATCCATAAAAACAAAAATCTTGCTTCTGGCCTCTGTGTTCTGACCAAAACTGTGACTCATTCCCAATAGTGTTACTGATACTGTCCTCCCCCTGATACTCTGCTGGGGAGGAGGTTCTTCTCTGCCACCCTGGCTGACCTGCTCGACCGGGTAACCCTTGTAAATCCAGCAGGCCAAAGCACTTAAGGGAACCCACCCCTACCCTAGCCCCAGAATGATTAGTGGCAAAGGCAAGGGCCCCCAATGGGACACTTGCCTGCCTGTACACCAATGCCAGGAGCTTGGGGAATAAACAAGAGGAACTGGTCCTCCTGCTAAACAAGAATAACTATGACCTCACAGGGATAACAGAGACCTGGTGGGACTCCACCTATGATTGGGCCACAGGTATAGATGGCTATACCCTGTACAGGCATGATCGTGCAGATAAAAGGGGTGCGGGTGTAGCCCTCTATGTCAGGGACAGCTACACATCCCTCCAAATTGACATTGGCACCTAGGAAAGATGACTGGAGTCTCTCTGGGTCAAAATACGTGGGAAACATGGTTCAGGGGACATCATGGTAGGAGTCTACTACAGATCTCCTAACCAGAAACAAGAGCTGGTCCAGGAATTCGCCAGGGAACTGGCTGAGGCTGCATGCTTTCGGTGCATGGTTGTCATAGGAGACTTCAGCTACCCAGACATATCATGGGAAGAGCATTCGGCCAAATTTGATGGGTCACAAAGCTTCCTCACATGTGTGGACAAGCTCTACCTGACTAAGTCTATGGGCCGATGAGAGGCAAAGCATTGTTGGACCTGTTATTGGCCAAAGGGGATGACATAGTCAGTGACCTAAGAATCAGTGGAAAGTTGGGTGATAGTGACCACGAGCTGATCACCTTTACTATCCATTGCAAAGCTGGCAAGTCAGTCAGCAAAGCAGAAGTCCTTGACTTCAGGAAAGCTGACTTTGACAAGCTCAGGAGGTTCATTGTTGAGGCCCTAAGGGACCACGACTCGACAGACAGAGGAGTCCAAGAGGAGTGGTTGCTCCTCAAGGGAGCAATCCTGACAGCACAAGGGATAGCCATCCCATCTCGGAGGAAGGGTAGCAAAAGGGCGCAGCAACCCCCTTGGCTCAGCAGGGAAGTTCAGGACCTCCTATGCCTCAAAAGAGAGACTTATAAAGGATGGAAGGTTGGAATTACCACCAAGGAAGATTACTCAGCACTAGTCTGTACCTGCAGGGAGTGGATCAGGAAAGCCAAGGCTGCAACCAAGCTCCATATGGCTTCACATATCAAGGATAACAAAGTCATTTTTCAGATATGTAGGGAGTCGGAAAAGAAGCAAGGGTAACATTGGACCCCTGCTGAACCAAATGGGGCAGTTGATAACTGACACCTAGGAAAAGGACAACTTGCTTAATGGCTACTTTGTGTCAGTCTTTCATCAGTCCAATGGAACCGCCCTGCCTAGCAAAACGTGGGACACCCAGGGTGAGGGCATATTTATACCCAGCATTTACTAAAAGGATCACCTTGAGAGTCTGGACACCTTCAAGTCAGCTGGTTCTGACAGACTACACCCTAGGGTACTCAAGGAGCTAGCAGGTGTCATAGCTCAACCATTGGCAAAAATATTCAAAAATTCGTGGCACTCGGGTGAAGTACTTGAAGACTGGAAGAAGGCCAATGTGGTACCCATGTTCAAGAAAGGGCGGAAAGTAGATCCCAGGAATTACAGGCCAATCAACTTGACCTCAATCCCCTGGTAAGATTCTTGAGGAAAATTATCAAGGAGACCCTTCTGGACAAGCTGGCTGAGGGCAACATGCTGAGGAATAGCCAGTACGGGTTTGTCGTGGGTAGGTCTTGCTTGACCAATCTCATCTCCTTCTATGACCAGGTGACATACCACCTGGACAAGGGAGAAGAGATTGATGTCATATACTTGGACTTTAAAAAAGCCTTTGATCTGGTGTCCCATGACCTCCTCATGGAAAAATTGGCCAAATGTGGCCTCGGCTACACCACAGTCCAATGGCTGGAAAATTGGCTCTGAGGTCGGACCCAGAGAGTAGTGGTTGATAGCAGCAAGTCATTATGGCACTCCGTAACCAGTGGTGTTCCCTAAGGCTCTGTCCTTGGACTGGTTCTCTTTAACATCTTTATCAATGATGTGCACATTGGTGTCAAAAGTGCACTGGCTAAGTTTGCCAATAAACTTTGGGGCATAGCATCCACACCTGAGGACCGGCTAGTGATCTATGCTGACTTGGATAAGCTTAGTAAGTGGGCAGACACAAACCTGATGACATTCAATACTGATAAATGCAAGGTACTCCACTTTGGGGAAAAAAAACCCGCGGCATACTTATCGACTCGGCAGAGCTATGCTTGCTAGAACCACTGCTGAAAGAGACTTGGGGGTCATGATTGACTATAAGATGAACATGAGCCACCAATGTGATGTCACAGCTGGTAAAGCAAACAAAACCCTGGCTTGCATCTATAGATGCTTCTCAAGTAAATCTCAGGATGTTATCCTTCCGCTGTACTCGGCCTTGGTGAGGCCACAGCTAGAGTACTGCATCCAGTTCTGGGCTCCGCAATTCAAGAAGGAAGTTGGGAAGCTTGAGAGAGTCTAGAGGATAGCCATGTGCATGATCAGAGGGCAAGAGAATACGTCCCATGAAGACAGGCTGAGAGCCATGGGACTTCAGTATGGAAAAGTGCAGGCTGAGGGAGGACCTGGTGGCAACCTATAAGTACACAAGAGGTGTACATCAGGATCTGGGAGTATGTCTGTTCACCAGAGCACCTCAAGGAAAAACAGGGACCAACAGTCATAAACTCCTACAAGACCATTTTATAGTTTCATAGTTAGTAGGGTCAGAAGGGACCTGAGCAGATCATCAAGTCCAACACCCTGCCATGGCAGGAAAGAGTTCTGGGGTCAAACAACCCCAGCAAGGTGATTGTCAAGCCTTGTCTTAGAGACC